TTTTTTTTTTAAGTGTTCGCGGGAAGACGGTGGTGGTAAGGTCGTGGGTTGCTCCCTTCCATTGCTGGGGAGCTGCGCCTGCTGCTGGGAATCGGGCCTAGTGGCCCATTACAGAATATTGAGGACGACAATGTTTAAACTTTAAATACAAAGTTTGTATGTTCAATGTTCATTCCTCCGTCTGTTTGCCTCCGAGTCTTTTTGAGACCGACCCTCGGACCCTGGGCCATCAGTACAATGGGCCTCGCTGCACTACTCTCGAAATGTGCAAAACGAGAGTGAATCTTCCGCTAGAATATGGACAAATACACGGCCATGATTTTTGTCTTTTGTGCATTTCAAGAGTAGTGCAGCGAGGCCCAATGTCATTATCTTTTCCATAAATTCCTTCCTTTGTCTGTCTGTTGTACATGCCCCCATCTGGTGTTCTCTGTGTTCTAGATTTTCAAAGTTGGACCCTGAGGCCCTCCTCATTAGCCACGAAGCATGCCAAAGAAGCAGCACAGAAGAGCGACACGAGGTGATATCATATTGAACTTCCCAAAAGGGGACGGAAACCCTCTTGAGGAAGAGAAAACGACAAAAGGGAAAACGACAAATCCGTATCCTTACTCTAAGTCAGTGGCAGTCCGGGAGCGGGACACAATGGAGAAGGAGGAGAAACATGGACTGCCGGCACTGCAGTCACAAAGGCAAGCCCAGGCAGAATGTGGACTTTCAGGAAATTCAATGCCTTCAGAAAGCACCCAAGCAAGACAACTGCTACAAGAGTGGGACTTGGATGCTGAGGAGTGGAAGCAACACCAACACCAACAAGAACAAGAACAGCAGCAGCAGCAGCAGCAGGAGCAAATGCGGGAGGGGGAGGGGGAGGGGGAGGAGGAGGAGGAGGAGGTGGTGGTATGGGAGGGGCAAGAGATATGGGAGAGAACGGAGATGGGAATGCGGCGACTGCGTGGACTGGTGCCGGTGCCCGCGTGCGGCGCCTGCAAAGTTCACATGCAGGAGGAGGAAGAGTCTATTGAGCCTATTCTGGACGGGATAGGAATGACAAGAGGAGGAGGAGGAGGAGGAGGAGGAGGAGGAGGAGGAGGAGGAGGAGGACTCCTTAATCCTTCATTCCTCGTGCGCCTCATTTCAACTGTGCAATCATTGGCGTTCAGCATGGATGATGTGAAGGGTAAATTATTGGAATGCAGTTCGGTGATGGATAAGCGAATGCGAGCAATGGAATCCTCCATGAGCGGGATGAAGGGCATGAGCTTAGAAGAGACAATAAGGAGAGCCATACGGCAGGAGACGAGTGCAAGTGCGCCTGACAGTGTTAGTAGGAGAGAGACAGCGTCTACCTCCGACTCGACTTTGACATGCAGACACTGTCACATGCAGTCCGGCGTGGTAGCAAGGGAGCTCAGAAAACTGCGCGCAGAGCTTCGCCAACTCGAAAACCGCGTCCGCAAATTAGATAAGGCAATGAATACTAGCGCAATGCCAAGCTTGTCGGCCACATTGCCCAACACCGTGACAATAGAAGCTGCAGCTCCTCCGCAGGATGCTACTGCAACTGATACCCAAATTCGATCTACGGCTACCAGCAGGCGTAGGAAGCATCCCAGGGGTCCACCAAGTGTAAACAATAGCCAGTATCGCAACAGTACCAATGGCCACGAGGACGGCAATAGCTATAATAGCAGTCGCAATGTGGATAGCCGTCGCAATAGCTATAGCAATCGAAGTGCTAAGCACGGCGTCAATAGCATTAGCAAGATGAAGTCGCAGTTGGTTACGCCCAAACTGGACTGCACTAAAAATAGCAACGGGAATAGCAACGGGAATAGCAACGGGAATAGCAACGGGAATAGCAACGGGAATAGCAACGGGAATAGCAACGGGAATAGCAATGGGAATAGCAACGGGAATAGCAATAGCAATAGCAACCGAAGAGCTAATGGAGGTGGAAATCGCAGTCCTAAAACCGAGTCCCAGTCCGGCAAGCCAAGACCGGAATTCGGTAGGTGGCTTATAGAAGTCGAGAGATTCTTTGAAGCGGTAGGGGGTCCTGAGGAGAGGAAGCTCATCATATGTCGCCCCTTGTTGGGGGGTCTCTATCATGCTTGGCTTCTGCACGGCGATGACGACATGGAACACAGAACGGCCATGAATCTGGAGTTTGCCTTCACTTGGGATGAGTTGAAGCATGCCATGTGGGCTCGATACCCAACTCGAAAGCCCGAACGAAAGGCAAGGCATCTCCTTGATAGGTGCAAACAGAACGGCAGACCCATCCAGGACCATATTCAAGAATTCGAGAAGATTCTGGGAATGGCCGAAAAGACGTATCCAGAGGAAATCATCATCGAGAAGTTCGTCGACAGTTTGGACGCGCGCTTGCGCAAGCAAGTCAGACCTAAGGAAGACGAAGTTGAGACCTTCGACGCCATAGCCACCTTTGCACAGAAGCTTGCCAACCCAAATTCAGGGCCCGGCAATAGGGCGATCTCGTTTGCTAGCGTGAGTTACAGTTCCAGCTCTGGTTCCAGTTCCAGTTCCAGTTCCAGTTCCAGTTCTGTTGCCGATCTCGTTTGCTAGCGCGAGTTACAGTTCCAGTTCCAGTTCCATCTCTGGTTCCAGTTCCATCTCTGGTTCCTGTTCCTGTTCCTGTTCCTGTTCCTGTTCCTGTTCCTGTTCCATTTCCAGTTCCATTTCCAGTTCTGGTTCTGGTTCTGGTTCTGGTTCTGGTTCTGGTTCCAGTTCCGGTTCCGGTTCTGGTTCCGGTTCCGGTTCCAGTTCCGGTTCCAGTTCCAGTTCCGGTTCCGGTTCCAGTTCCGGTTCTGGTTCCGGTTCCGGTTCTGGTTCCAGCAAAAGGGTGCCACTGTCTCCTTCAACGAGTGTCACTGGCAGCCCGACCAGATCACCATATAATTTCCAAAGAATTCCACACTTGGAGATAGACATGGAGCACGAGTGACCACTGACCAGTGACCGACTTTTGCAACCATCATGATGAGTAGACGGTCACACAAAGAAGAAGAAGAAGAAGAAGAAGAAGAAGAAGAAGATTCTAAGAAGAAGAAGAAGAAGAAGAAGAAGAAGAAGAAGAAGAAGAGGAATGAAAGAAAGAATGAATGAATGAATGAAAGAATTGAATGAATGAATGAAAGAATGAAAGAAGAAGATGGGTGTCAAACAGCAGGGTGGTGACTTCGCCAATAACAAGAAGCACCTGAAGTGGCACCGGACAACCGGTCACCGTATGGAATGCAGAGGATCCAACATCCAACACACGTGGACATCAACATTGAGGACGACTCCCTTCCTTCACAACCATCACCAGCAGATGGTCACAAGAAGAAGTCGAAGAAGAAGAGAGAAGAAGAAGTCGAAGAAGAAGAAGTCGAAGAAGAAGTCGAAGAAGAAGTCGAAGAAGAAGAAGAAGTCGAAGAAGAAGTCGAAGAAGAAGAAGAAGTCGAAGAAGAAGAAGAAGAAGAAGAAGAAGAAGAAGAAGAAGAAGAAGAAGAAGAAGAAGAGGAGGAGAGGGAGGTGGGGGGGGTGCCGATGGGTTCTGAGGCCAGGCATCGCTCCAGTGACCAGTCTATTCATTGAGACCAGCACCATTGCCCCAGTCTATTCAATAGTCGAGTACAGTGTTAGTTGTATGTTTTGGACTTTAAGTTAGTCTATAGCTAACCATGTACTCGACTATTGAATAGACTAAGAACCAGCGGAGCCATATGTAAATATCTAAAATTTCTAAATTATAGTGAATGGTAAAAGCAGATGGCTTTAGACTTTAGTCTTTAGACAAACATCAATGGAGGGAAACGAACCCTCAGAGAGCAGCATGTAAAAATCTAAATAGTTAAAACAAATGGCTTTAGACAAACATCGATGGAGGAAAATGAAACCTTAGCGTCCCTTTTTTTCTTTTCTTTTTTTTTTTTTTTTTTTTTTTTTTTTTTTTTTTTTTTCATCAGTACCCCTTGTTGTTCCTTAACCTTGGTGACAAGGGTGCAAATTTGCAAAATGACCTTCCTGGCAAATTCGGATGATGGGAACAGGATAGCGACTGAGAAGATACAAAAATGTTATGTGTCCTTATCCTGTTTCTTCCCCGCCGAGTATAGAGAAAGACGTAGAAAGGTTCGCTGTTCTTAGTCCTGTTGCTTTCCCGCGTTTCTGTGCTTCTTTTTTGTAAATTAAATTATTAAATTCCATTTGAGACAAGAATAAGGAGTCTGGGCGTCGGCTAAAGTGGAGTCAGGTGTTCGTTGAGCCTGCAAGAGAAGGTTAGCGTCTCCCTCGAAAAGGAGGGGAATAGTCTATTCTTCGGACTACATGAACACAATGTCATACGGTTTAGGCTACCTAACCTCGGATGGATGGATCCAAGCCAATTTAACTAACTACAGGGTTACCGGCATTCGGGACGGGCCGAATGCCCGAACCCGAACGCCCGAGCGTACGGGACCCCTTGGGAAGGCGTTCGGAACGCGGACCAAAGAAAAAGAAAAAAAAAGAAAAAAAAAAGAAGAAGTTTTCAAACAATTCCGAAAACAAAATATGTTATGGAGAAAACTACACTAAACAACATTTGCCTGGGCACTACATCCAAATTCTTTACCAAATTTGAATTAAACATCAAATACAGAAAATAAACACTATGATAAAAATAAGAAAAAATAAAAAGAGAATTAAAATGAGTGAGTGTGCCAGCACCTTTTCGACACTGCCATCTGTGCCGATTTTTAATTGTTTTTTGGCATTGACAAATGCCCTCAAAATTTACAGATATGTTGTTTACATAATCAATAACTCATTAAAAAAAATTCAAAAAATGATAAAAAATTTTAGGCCCCAAAATAAAGTGAAAACAAAAAGTGAAAAAAAACAAAATAGTGAGTGGGCGAGCACGTTTTGACACCCCCATCTTTGACGATTTTTAATGTTTTTTTGGCTTAGCAGAATGGCTTCAAAATTTATAGGCGTGTAGTTTACATCATAGAGAACTCACAAAAA